TTTTTTTTTTTTTTTTTTTGCCTTCAGTTTATTGAATGTTCCTTGGAATGTTAATAATGTGATTGAGTTGGAAGATTGGTGCTCATTGAAAGTGTAAGCATTGTTGCATGCCTTTGGATGAGTTGACAAAAATAGGCATTGATGTTGCATTATCTTTTTTGGAATATTTGGTTTCTTCAGAATTTCCATTTTTCTTTGTATTTGGTAATTCACCTGCATTGGCTATTATATTGCGTTGTTTTGTTTCCTTGATGCTGTCTTGATTTATATCTTCTTGGATAAACTTGAGATTTGTAGTTGAGATTGTTTCTATGGGACTCCAATAAATGAATCATTAATTTCAGAAGTAATTTTGTGATATTGTTACTTTTTGTGACAGGACCTGGTTTTCTTCTCCATGACAAATTCCAAGTGACCATCTAACATCAGAAATATGATGTACAGTGGAAAGAATTCTTTACTGCCTCCAAAATCTCCTTTTCCTAGCATTTACCCGTCATATGTTGATTATATCCCTAGTTCAGGGGTTGGACCAAAAGGTCTTCCAAAGCCTAGAGAGGCAAATTCACACCATCAACGTACTTCCTCAGAGAGTTTTTTAATAGAGGAACAACCTTCTTGGTTTGATGACCTCCTCAATGAGCCAGAAACTCCTGTGCGCAGAGGAGGTCATCGGCGTTCATCTAGTGATTCGTTTGCCTATATTGACACTACTAATGTTGGAAAGACAAATTATGTTACTCCAGACAATAACAAGTTCAAGAATTTAACTTTGGTGCCTTCATGGGGTTCTCAAGATTTTGAATTTTATAGAGAGATACAACATGGTTCTGCATATGGGGGCCCAAATTCTTTAGGAAAAACCAAAAATCAGACATGGGATAATTCAGTTGCACCTCCCTGTGAAGTTCCTTCTCCTGGGGATAATACCATTATTCAAGATGCAGGATTATCAAGTACTTCGAGAGAAGCAGAGAGGAATCCGTCTTCACCAACTGAAAAGCAGGATCCTGGTGAATATGGTCCTCATGACCCAAAAGGTTCTTCTGAGAAGGATTCATTTCATGCCAAGCCTTCGAATTTGGAGATGGACACTAAACGTGCCAAGCAGTATGTTAATTTTAGCCACTAAATAACAATGATTGAGTTCTTTTGAGTTTCACATCTTGTCTGTAATTCCCAGGATTCTGTTTTTTTCTTCTTTGTAGCGAGCTGTTATTTGCCCATTGTCATGTGTTTTTATTTCACGAGGAAATCATACTAGAGTTACCCAGTCTAAATGTATGGATGAATCTTAATGTCTGAATCCTTTACCCATAAATTAGTGATTGAGATTTTGAGTTTCATAAAACTCCAGCCTCCAACTCCTAGTTGTTTTAACCTGTTTCCTTATGTATCCCGCTACTGTTTGCCTATTCTCATGTGTTTCAGTTTTGAGGAAACATAGTTACTCATTCCAAATGTTTGGATATAGTTGGAAATTTCAGAGTTGAAAGCCAAACACATACCCTTTCGCTCTGCTTCATAAGAACTTGCGCTGATGTGTTTTGTCTGTCCATGACATTTTACAACTTTCTTAATCACATTTGATTGAGGAACTACAAAATTTGATTGATATTTTATTGTTCATTAAGCTTAACTTTCTATATAATGCAGGCAATTTGCTCAGCGATCACGGGTCAGGAAACTTCAATACATCGCTGAACTTGAAAGAAACGTTCAGGCTCTACAGGCTAGTGTTACCATGCTTGAAACATTTTGACATTGAATTTTATATTAATTTAATCTTGCTTCATTACATTCTTTTTGAAGCTGTTGATATCATTCTGTTATTTATTCTCCAGGCAGAAGGCTCCGAAGTTTCAGCTGAGCTCGAATTTCTCAACCAGCAGAATCTGATTCTGAATATGGAGAATAAAACACTGAAGCAACGGTTAGAAAGTTTAGTTCAAGAGCATCTTATCAAGCATTGTAAGTTTTTTTTCCTATCACTTAATCTTCTAGGTAGTTGTGGTACCTGCTGCTTTGGTTTTATTAATTGGTAATCCTTTCCAACATCATGCAACACATCTTAATTTGATTAAAATATGGTATCCATTTCAACTAGTCTGCGATTTGGTGCTAGCCTTTGGGTTATGTCCCTTTGTGTGTAAGTAGAAATTGATAAAGAAGAATGGTTTCACCTGACAAGCTTTGGAAAGTAGATGAACCCTAATCTTCTTTCAGAGGTTTTATCTGATGTTATGTCACCCCTAAAATATGTTACTGTTAGTAAAAAATGAAAAATGATTAGGTGGGATAGAATAATGAATTTTAACCACAACTTTCAATCGTAGAACACTAAAGGTCACTATTCCCTTTGTCTTTTATAATTACACTAAATTGGGGAGATACTGCACTTTGTCTGAAAGTTTATGGCTGTAAGAATCTTCAGAAGTGAATATGTGGGTTCGATATGCAGTTGAGCATGAAGTATTGGAGAGAGAAGTGGGACGACTACGAGCTTTGTATCAGCAACAGCAGCAGCCACAACAGCAGCAACCATCTTCTAGCCATAGACGTGCTAAAAGCAGCGATCTTGATCAACAATTTGCTAATCTTTCACTGAAACACAAGGAAACAAGTAGTTGCCGCAATCACGTTTTTGGCCAACTTCACATTTGAGTAAATTGCAAGAGCTTCAAGCCCTCATTGATTGCTCGGTTGATGGTGCCTCACAGTTTGCCTTGTTTGGGATCAAGCCAGACTCATCCAGTGCTCGTGTTCTACCCCCATCCTGCTTTGCTTATTTTGCTCTGTCTTTTTTTCTTTCTATTGGTTTTAGTTAGGTCATTTTCTTCGTTAAAATTAGTCTCCATGTGCACCTGGTAGTCTGTGCCAGAAAACTGTGGTTCTGGCGACTCTCCTGAGGTGGTTCTCCAAACATGATTGATGTTAGTATCACTGTATGTCAAGTGATGAGTTTGTCGTCGCTCGCCCAGAAATTTCATGCTTTATTGATTCTCAAACTGTTGATTTCTTGAGTATCTACTGATGAATGTGTTCTTACAATAATTCAATATAACAACTATTTTAACAGTTGAATTTTTAATGTTCTGATGGGTATTTGTGTAATGTACTTCAAAAACATAAAATTGTTGCATACTATTATTGTCTTGATCAGATTGGAGTTTCTTGACATGATTGTGGCTTTGGAATTCATTGCTAATTTATGTTGGTCATTTTGGCATTAGTTATAGTTGGAGTTACTGAATTTAGATTTCTTACAATTGGGTCCATATCCGTTAATTTGACTAACGAAAAGGTTGGTAAAAATGTGTCAAGGACAGAAACGTGTTACCAGAAAGGTGCTCAATCAATATGGCAAACAAAATACATAATCATCTGCACATATTTGAATGAGGAGCATCTTTTACAAGTGTTTGAAGGAAAAAGTTCATGACATTACGCCCGTGTTTGAGCCCCATTTTAAGAGAATAATGCATTTTTAAATAGTGATTTTTGAAGAATGTGTGGTTTAAAATTAAGAAAATTTTTGATTTATGTGCAATATTATTTTATTGGAGAATGTGCAGTTGAAAAAATGAATTTTCAAAAAAAAATGGGGCTCAAACGTCCCCTACAGTAACTAGCAGCGCTGCAGCAGCAATAGTGAAAGAATTATACGGGAAGTTGCCGGTGCACAAGACTTGGAAGCAGCATTTAAAAGCCTAGAGTGATCTTGAGGTGAGGGCAATACACATTGTTCACCATTGATTGAAATCTTCTTGGGAAATGCCCACCCCTCTCTGAAACTGAAAATCCCTGTATCTTTATGCCGTAAGATTTCTGTCTGTAGATTTCCATTTGCGCCAGCCTGGAGCAGCATCTCATTGTAAAACTGAATCCCATTAAACACTCCAATATCATCTGAAGATACAAAACATTATTAATATTAACGAGTGATTAACGTTGAGCAAGAATATTAGTACAAAAGAAAATGAACTTAAGTATATTGCCATACTGGTTGAGGGGCTTGTAGTCAAAGCTGAAAACCCGCTTAACACTTTGGAGATTAACAACCAAATTCCACTGACTGTAATTCTTGACACGATTTACATTTATCACTGTATTTTTTACCCTCCAGTACTGTGTAACTTTGCATAACATGCCAGTGCACTCTTATAGGGAACATATGGTCAGTACATTGCACCACTGGTTGCATTAGTTCATTATTCTGCAGTTGCAATACTGGTGGCAGATCCCCAGGCCTAAAACTACAAGACAGTCAAATATGCAAAATGGAGACTATAAATGTATAAATAATCATAAATAGTTTTGTTTTTCTGCAATTAACTTTGGTAATTACTTTACACATTTTGCCCAAGATTTGCAAGCACAGCTGCATTCTTGGCTTGGAACTATGGTATCGTTGTAGTATACCGTGAACAAATCACAGTATATTGGCGCCGGAAGATCTGAACTGGGACTAAGATCTTACACGTCACTGCAGTAAATCCACATACATGTTAATAATGATACTATTAGTACTCTACAATCCATATGAGCTATAGGCCTCATTTGATTTTCCCCCTCCCCCTCTTTCTTATTGCCGTGTATTTAGTCATTTTCTCCTTTGTTTCTGAAGCCAAAGTATACGTTTATTGATCAAATCTCTCAAGATGGTCGTCTGAGACACCTTTGTGTCAGAGTTGATGTAATGATCCAATATTTCTGATGGTTAGGTTTTCATTTAACAAAGTTGGATGGCCATGTCTACATTTATTCTCTCATCATACAAAGGTAAAATTGTATCTAATAACTTATTCTCATCAAAAAAAGAAAAAAAAATGGAAAAAAATTCTGCTCTTCCCGACCTAAGGAATGAAAATGTCTATAGACATATCAAGCCTAGTCCTCGTATTCTGTCTCTTCATCATCATCCTCATTGTTTTCTCCGTACATCCATCCTTCTCCAACATTATCACGTTCCTCTTCTGTTTCTTCACTGTCTTCATTGTCATACACGTCCTCTTTGATGGGCCAAGATTTTTTCATTATATTCAGGTTGGCAGGAGAAGCACTGGAGCTTTTCCGCTGAGGAACTTTTGAAGGAGGTGGTTTTAAATTTGGCTTCTGCCTACTCCGTTTCTGGACTTTACCATTGCCTCGTTTTCCAACATATACATCTTGATCACTGCCTTCATCCATCTCGTTTTCATTGTTAGGTGGGTTGTTCTTAGCATTTTCATCCAGAAAATGGCCAGGGTGTTCTCTTCTTAGATGAAGATTCAGCTTGTACTCGTGGATGTAGGCCTTCTCACACCCTGCATATGGACAGGCGTATGGGCGGTAAGATGATGCGGGTCCAGAAGGTCCTGCAGAAGATTTAGCAGTTTTCACTGGCTTCTCTGCAGGTGGAGTGTGTTTAACTGCATCTACCATGTTCTGCTTAAACATTGCCAGAATTGAAATTTAGTTACCAAGAGAAAACTAATAAAGTAGATATGCATGAACAAATAGAAATCCTATAAAAACTTTTTTTCAAATTAATCAACCGGAGAGATCCTAGTTTTAAGGAAGCATAGCTTGGCATTCCCAAGAAACATGAAGAACAAGAACAATAAAATAATAAGAGGTCAAATGCAGGTAAGTCACAAGTAGACAAAACTAGCTAACCGGAGGGAAATGTGGAAGTACTGACCTTCTCATGATGAGATGCAATGTGATTCTTCAGCTTGTACTCGTGTGTATAACGTTTTCCGCATTCAGGATACCCCGTTAATACTATTAAGAGGACACAGTGTGTTTTCATGTGTGACCTTAGATTGAAATCTAGAGAGAATGCCTGCACAACATAAAAAAATACAGAATCAGAATTGAGGAAGAAGGAAGCAAGGAGAATGTGTAATAAAAATCCATCTCTATTGAATCTTCAAAACTCCAGTTACTCCACAGTAATTTTTTCAATTCTCCAGGAATATATTGGACTTAAACTGGTAATGAAGATGCAATATAACTAATTGATAATAGAAGAATCAAATTTACACGAGGATGAATAGATTGAAACATGCTGTGAAAATCCCAAACAATGATAAGTTAAAAATCTTGGAGAAATAAACAGTCATATCGCAGAAAAAGAGGAGAAGGGATCTAAATGAACTATTCCAAGCAGACCAGTTCTCACCTTACCACAGCCTTCGTGCGGGCATACAAAGTGTCTCTCCCCAGTATGAATTAAAAAATGCCTCTTTAATTTTGAACTATCCAAAAATTTCTGTAAAATAAGTACAGATTTCAATTTACATTGCTTAAAAAACTAACAGAAAGAAGAAATCATAAAAGGATAAAGAAAAGCACATTAATCTAATTCCCTTCATTTATTTCTATTACGAGACTTGCTCAAGAATAAGTGGTATTTTCCTAATCTGAAAGTTCATAGGAATGCTTCAATTAAAACTGCCAGCCAAAAAGCCACTTATCCACATGAAACCAACAAGATGCCAATTTTTTTCCCGAACATGTAATGGAATATCCAGGATAAATATAAATAACAATTTTGGCTAGGTTTTCCATAGACTGCATGCATCTGTACGCTATAGGATATGATTTAACTGATAAACAATTAAAATCTCAATGAAATTTCCCATTAGATTAAACAAAATAAATCAAAGAAAAAGAAGAAAAATAAAGAAAACATCAATCAGACCTTTTCTTGTTATGCGAATCGCAATGTAGAAAACACCAGGAAATGATAATAATTCCTTTGGATCTGTCAGGTTCTGTTCCCTTTGTTTGTTGTCAGCTAATGTAAAAAAAAGTATCACTTCTTAAGACCTCGTGGTTATGATCGGATTAGAAGTGCTTTAAGATTCCTTTTTCATGAAAAGAACTGCATGATTTAAGTATCTGTCCTTATTATCTGATGTCCAGCAATCTCCACCTATCGACGTGGTGGGTTTTGGTTAACTTGTGCCGTTCAATAACTTATATGGTACTATTCTCTAAGGGATAGATGGCATTAGAGAGCTTTTAACTGTTATTATACCAATTTTTATGGATAATGTACATATCACCCTATAATTTGCTCCTGTTTTCTTTAACTGCAGTTTGCTGCTTTATGGGTTCATATGCTTTTATGCTCTATGGTAGAGTCACTGATAAATGGTGAAGTTTACCTTGCTTATGTGATTAAGGCTTTCATCTCAAAGCTAAAAGGAGAATACACCCTCAACATTTAACGTACCTTTCCGCAATTATCATAATGGCAAACATACTGCCTCTCCCCATGGATGTGAGAATGCTTCCTCAAAGCTCCAACATCAATAAAAGTCTTTCCACAGCCTTCGTAACTACAAAGGAAAAGAACTTCTGTTGTTGGTTCAGGCTCGTGTACTACTTCGGGCTCTTTTGACTTTTCTTTCACAGCCTTCAATGTGGCCTCTTGCAAATAGGAAAAAAGATCTTTTAGGTCAAATTTACCACCAGCTCGTATGCAACGCAAATTTCCACATAAAATGACAAAATAGTTGAAAAGGGAAAGAAAAACAAACAAAAGCACGGTGAGCACAATAGATGCTCAAAGCAAAACAAGCAAATCTCTGTTAGAACTGAAGAATCAAACCTATTACTGCCACAACAAGTCCATATTTTGAAAATATAAGGAAATAAAACAACTTTATGGTATAGACCATTGTTTCCTCCTTTGGATGCATTCAAAGAAAAGGTTTCCTCTTGTGGATAAGACTATTACTAATGCAAGCAATGAAAATCAATATTTTCAATGAATCAATCACCCCAGTTAAAGTGGATCAGTCGCCAAAGCAGGTAATTGTCCAGAACAGCATATACCACTATGCAAAATACATCCTCGTCTAACACTAAAATGCTTCCATTTATTGATCAATCGCATTATTATCCGCTTTAAATTATCCTGGCGGAAAGCTTTATATAACTAACCATTGACCCATTTCAAAAGTAAGCACCTTCCACCAGTTGATACAACATCTTGTGGCATCCTAGAACAAAACAAAGCAGGTTAATGAACAGGTTGGTAAAACATATATAAGTTTGTCAAGAGAAAAAGCTTCAGCTATAACATTGCATATAAAAGAAAGTTCCAATGAAGCTTAAGGAGATGTTGCAAAAATGAAAATAAATACTCGGTCAAAAAAGCTTGGGTGTTTTTATTCTTTCTTACAGGATATTCAGACTTCAAATTAGGAAGAGCAATCAAGAAACACTACAACACTGGTCACTTAAATCCACCCACAAAACTAATTTTGTACCACACTGCACATAGACAGCTGATCACATATATCGGTTCACAAACCACCTCGTCTAGTCCATTTATCTATCAGTTCTAATACGATTGTCTTCATGAAACATTAGTTAAGCCCTTCGACTTGCCAATTTTGCATTCATGGTTGTTTTTTCAATAATATGGCTTCCACCTCCAAGTATATTCAACATCAATCTGTGGTCAACTGTTCATTGAATGCCAAGTTAATTATAGTAATCATAACATATCGAATACAAGAGTATCCAGCTGATATGAAATCAAACTATAAATTGGCTCATTTGACACCAATCATCAGGAATGCTAAACCCCAAGCAAATAGCATATAAGAATGGTTTAAAGGCATGGTACCAGGGCAATTTGGAATATTCCATATGGCAATCAGATTTATTTCTTGTTTTTTACTCTTTTGCGACTTCTTGACTTTAAATTTTATGGGGGAGAGTCACTATGAAAAGGTAAATTCTTGACTGCATCGTTAAATTTGTGGGACAGGATTCTTTTCTTGTCAGTTAGCAAGACCAAAAAATTGAACAAAATCAGCAATGAGGCAATTTTGTTTTCGGTTTTAGTTCCATCTTTCAGAAATTAAACCAAAAGTATCAATATCACATTATAAACCGAAGCAAAATCAACAATGAATTCAGAAGGCCTAAATACCAATTAACCAATCCTTGCGCATCAGTAGATAAATATTATCAAGTATCAGATATCAAGAGACAGTTTATGCAGAAAAGGGCACAGAAAAAAAAAGGAAAAATTTTGGGAATTTTTTTTCTATACCATTCTTTAACCCATTTAACAGCAGGGGCTTTCGACTTGGTTATCGGGCGTCTGTCGAATAGATTATAACTGACGTGTGCATCCATTGCTCTCTTTATTCAGATACTGTCATGAATCGTAGAAATTTATTTTGGTAATTAGTTTAGGATTAGGTTTAGGGTTTAGATGTCTCGAAAATCAAAGAATTTGTAAGATAATTGGGAAGTTCTTCTGAAGACAGCGTCTTTAATCTTCCATTGTTATACTACAGAGCCGTTGAGGAAGGAGGAAAAATCTGTCCGGTTTAGTAGTTGAGAGCGGTTCACTTCTCTCTTATTACTTTTTTTTTTTTAAATCTTTCCATGGAGTAGGTAATGATGTACTTCGATTTTCTTTTCTTAATTCTTTTCCTTTATAGCTTATTCATTTGCATGTGATTTATTGATTATTTTGAACCTCTTTTTTTGGGAGAATTAATTTTATAATAATAATTTTTGAAAAATATTTGATTAAAAAGTAAGATAAATTTTTGAATTGCTGTATAAAATTATCTTATTGAAAAAATGTATAATTAAAAATGAATTTTTAAATAATAAAAACAAAACAGGACAGTTTAATTTTCTCGCTTTTCTACAAATAAGAATTTATTTATTTATAAATAAGTAAAGATAAGATTGAAATACAACACAAAAAATAGTTTTAAACTTAAGACAAATCCAACAAGGCTTTTGAAAGTCAAAAGCTTTTTCAGATATGAAGAAGCTACTTCTAAATGAAATGCTTTGTTTAGTTAGAAGAATTTAAAGTAACTTTCTAAAGAAATTCTTCTATAAGAAGTATAAACATTGGCTAAACAGGCCCATAGTGTAAGACGTGATAGCTTTGAACTAAAACTCATTAAATTAGGAAAAGTTTTCAGTAAAAAGTAACACAAATGGAAATTTGTGCATCCTTTATTTCAATAATAAAGAACAATTATGCTATTTGTACAATCATACCTGACAGCAATGGTTGACAATGTTGGTGTCGTCAAAATACATACCGCTGATTTAAAAAACAGTTTATGAAATGAATGAATGTGATGTTATCAAGTGTGGGTTGTCAACCAATATTGTCGAACTAGATTGTTCATGTAGAATGATTCGCTAAATAAATTCACAAGACTAGCCACTTTGTTCTTCACTATATACAATAGACTTCGAGTATGCTAGTTGCTGATAGGAACCCCTTGAGTATTCAATGAAATAGATGAATAATAGCAGAAATTATAGAACTGTATTGATTGTAAGATGAATTATAGAAATAAAAGAAATACAATCAGCCTTTCGAGAGGGTTGTACTCTCCACATTACCGTTTTCACTCACTATTTTGCATGCCCCATCCTTTCCCCCCTTTTCTTTATTTATAAGCTACTTGTAATTGTTTTTCCCTCCTATTTTTTCTCTCTAACCTACTAGTTTTCCACCCACCAGTAGGTTATTCTTCTTCTAGGTCCTTCTAGAATGCGTGAGGTGGATAGGAGCCTATCAGTTGCTTTCACATCTGATTATGTCTCTGCTTTGTCTTTCAATATTTGAAGCAGCAAATGCACAAAGCATTATATACAAGGTAGGTTTAAACCTGAATCAAAAGAGAAGAGAATGAGACTTATCACTGGAATATGGTAGGTAGATATTTGCAAATCAAAATACATAACAGTGTACTTAACATACCAATTGTTCAGGTTGATCCAATGCTCAGAGTGCATTTGCGCTTTGCATTTGCCGAAGAGGGAAGAACGACAAGACTTTCATCCTTCAAAGCAGGACGAATGAAGACAGCCAGATATCAGTAGCTTCAAAAATTATTATTTTTCTTGTTGTTTGGGGGAAAATGCAAGTTATACGAAGCAGATAGGGTGAAACCAAACAGATCATTAAGACACGGGAAAAACAACCTTGGATCATAAGAACAAAGATAATAATTCTTCATTATTGTGTGTAAACCATTTCATTATAATGAAACCAGCTAATCTAAAACCTTCCATGCACATCAGAGAGGGGGAAGTGACCAATAATGGAAGTTATCATTCAATTCACGACTACCCATTTTAAGTAATCCAATCCATTTCAATAATGGTTACGCATCTAAGAGTAAATAATAAGCTATGTGGTAAAACTAAACTGTAATTTTTCTAGTAAAAGAAAGCCACAACATCTAAAGCAAGATTTTACATATGTACGATAAGTTCCAAATTTTGGATCAGATCTATGAAATATGTTTCCAAATATAAAAGAAAAGAATAAAGGAAAAAAGAAGATGGCTTACGATAAATAGTCTGCAGAAACAAATATTGGAATTCTCCCTAATCCTTCACCTTTCCATTTCTTTCTTAGAGAAATAATCACTTTGTCTGCTTCTGTGCCTGTCGCAGTCATAACAAACTAGAAAAAGCCACAGTTACAACCAAATAAAAAGGCATCATGCTGTAATTTCTAGGAATCAGGCGTACCATACTGCATAATCTTAATTCTTATGTCAAGTTGCATTTAAAATAATGTGGCGACTTGACAAACGGATAGAGAAAATAGTACAAGATGCACATAAACAGACACAGGAACCTCGTACTTACCAACGGATAGAGTATAGCCATAACTCCATAGCTAACAAGGGGAGAGTAAAGGAATATTGCCAGAACACAGGGGCCTCCTGAAAAGATAAAAGTATGCAGTATTTTTCTATCAGAGAAGTATTGGAAATTTCCGAAAAATATGCAATGCCAGTGAATGAACATGTTACGACTCATAAATAGAAGCAACACGTGGCACCATATTTCGGCGGAGGGACCCAATAGAATCAGGATGTGTTTTCCTGGCGGCCCTTATTCAGAGGCCATCATT